TCAGGCGCAGGCAGGCAGGAATGAACAACAAGCTTATGTTAACCAACAACAGGCTCAGAGGAACGAAAGGCTTGCTCAGCAAAACCAACAACAAGCTAATAGAAACGAGCAACAAGCCCACCATGTTCATCCGCCACCGCCACAAGCTCAGAGACAACCTCATCCGGTCTTTTTTGGAGAGAACGACCGAGCTAATGCGCACCAATACCGAGCTGGGATTCAAGCTCCACCGGTTCAAAATAACAACTTTGAAGTTAAAGCTTCCCTCCTCAACATGGTGCAGAACTCAAAGTTCCACGGTCTAGCCGGAGAAGACCCTCTTGAGCATCTAGATCAGTTTGATCGGGTTTGCGACCTAACAAAGATCAATGGTGTCTCGGAAGATAGCTTCAAGCTACGCTTGTTCCCATTCAGCCTCGGTGATAAAGCTCACCAGTGGGAAAAGAACCTCCCGAGGGGTTCTATACAAACCTGGGAGCAGTGTAAACTGGCATTCTTATCAAAGTTCTTTTCCACATCACGCACGGCTAAGCTCAGAAACCAGATCTCAAGCTTCACGCAGCACAACAACGAGAGCTTTAGCGAGGCTTGGGAACGGTTTAGAAGTTACACTAACCAATGCCCACACCACGGCTTCTCAGAGGCATCCCTCTTGAGTACTTTATACCGAGGTGCCCTCCCCAAGATCCGAAACCAACTAGATACAGCTTCAAATGGAAATTTTCTTGGGAAAGAGATCAATGCGGCAATGGAACTAGTCGAGAACCTAGCCATGTCTAATGATACTTATGGCGAGGACTTTGATAGAGCAAACCGTACAGAGGGCTCTGGTGAAGAACAGCGTATGAAAAAGGATATCAGAGAGCTTCAGAGCAAGCTTGACAAAGTTCTGATGGCGACTCAAAAGCCAATACACTTTGTAGGCGAGTTTGATGAGCAAGGGCCAAGTTTTGACAATGTAAACGAAGATGGTCTAACTCAAGAGGAGCTGAACTACATAGGGAATCAGCAGAGGTATCAGCGGTTCAACAACTACAACAGTAACCCAAACCTCTCATACAGAAACCCGAATGTAGCTAACCCTCACGATCAAGTGTACCCTGCTCCGCAACAACAACAAAGCTACGCTCAAAAGGCTCCTTATCAGAATACCTTCCAGCCCAAGCAACAGTTTAGTGGGCAACAGCACGGCTACACTCAGCAGAATCAAGCGGCTCAGGGTAACAACTTCACCAGCCAACCGCAGCATCACAAGTTTCCACCAGGGTTCAATCCGCAGCCGATGGGTAATCAGCGACAGAATCAGGGAACGGGTCAGAATCAGATGGGAAACGATGTCTGTGGGATATTACAGCAACTCTTACAGGGTCAGCAGAGAGTTGAGAGCCAGCACGCGACAATGCAGCAAGATATCAGAGAGCTTAAGCAGAATCAAGCCTCTACATCATCCCGAGGCCCGGCTTTACCAGGTAAACCGGAGCCCAATCCCAAGGAGTACGTGAACGCCATTACATTGAGAAGTGGCAAGGAACTACAAGCTCTGAAGCCTAAGACTAAGCTCATTGAGGCCAATGAGCAATTAGAGGGGGAGGCAGCCTCAGGTGATGCGTGTAAAGAAGCAGATTTTGAAAAAGAACCGATCAAGGACAAAGGAAAAGAGGTGGAAAAGACAACTGAGCTTGAAAAGCCATACGTTCCACCACCACCTTACCAACCCAAGATACCGTTCCCAGGGCGTTTCAAAAAGAAAATCTTAGACAAAGCCAAAGCGGTCTTTGAGAAACACTTGGAGAACACGCAACTCACCTTACCCATTATAGATGCTTTCTTAGCTATACCACAGCTTGGGAAGTTTCTAAAGGATGCAATCCTCAACAAGACAAAGGAGCTCCAGGGTATGGTAATACTGAGCCATGAATGCAGCGCCATAATACAAAGGAGGTCTATACCAAGGAAGCTATCCGATCCGGGCAGCTTTACCTTACCGTGTGCTTTAGGTCACTTGAAGTTCTCAAACTGCTTGTGTGATCTAGGAGCTTCTGTGAGTTTAATGCCATACACGGTGGCGAAGAGATTGGGATACAAGAGTTACAAGCCGGCCAAGATCTCTCTTATACTAGCTGATAGATCGGTTCGCTTACCGGTGGGTTTGCTCGAGGATTTACCTTTAAGGATCGGTGAGATAGAAATCCCCACGGACTTCATAGTTCTTGAGATGGACGAGGAACCATTGGACCCTATCATCTTGGGCCGACCGTTCCTAGCGACCGCAGGAGCCATTATAGATGTGAGAGGAGGAATGATTGAACTACACATCGGTTCCGAGCATATGAAGTTCAATGTGAAAGAGATGATGAAGAAACCAACCATTGGAGGTCAGGTTTTCTATGTGGAAGTGATGGAGGAGCTAGCTGATGAGCTCCTGGAAGAGTTGAACGCAGAGGATCCGTTACAAGTGGTCCTTACACGTGAACAAAGCGAGCACGGGTACTTGAACGAGGAAAGCGAGGTGTACAAGCAACTTTTGGACCAACCGAAGGAACTTGGAGCTGAGGCTAGGTTTTTGGAGCTCAGGAAGAGTGGCCTCGACATCTTAGACAGCGAGGGGTCCATGGGAACAGAGGAGACACCTCGGGATATCATGGCCGTGGCAACTCATATCGAGGCCGATGGTAATCCGCGCGAGAACAAGGAAAAGGCCGAGGAAGCTGTCCCGGGCCAATGTAGCTTTGATACCGATTGGAATGAGGCAGACGCTCCCCCTGTTGAGCTCAAGCCTCTACCAACAGGGCTCAGGTATGCATTTTTAGGCTTGAACTCTACTTTCCCTGTGATCATAAACGATAGCTTGCTTGAACATGAAGAACATGCATTGCTTAATGAAATCACGAAATTCAGGAGAGCAATAGGGTATTCCTTGGCCGACATAAGAGGAATCTCTCCTGATATATGCACTCACAGGATCCACCTGGAGGACCAAGCCATGTCCTCTATTGAGCACCAACGTCGCCTTAACCCGAACCTCAAAGAGGTGGTTAAGAAGGAGATACTAAAGCTCCTTGAGGCAGGGATCATATATCCAATCTCTGACTCTTGGTGGGTATCTCCTGTGCACGTTGTGCCCAAGAGGTGGTATCACGGTAGTAAAAAATGATAAGGATGAACTCATAGCCTAAAGAACTATAACCGGCCATCGCATGTGCATTGACTATAGGAAATTGAATTCTGCATCAAGAAAAGATCATTTCCCTTTACCATTCATTGATCAAATGCTTGAACGGTTAGCCAATCATCCTTATTTCTGTTTTCTCGATGGATACTCTGGATTCTTCCAAATACCAATAGATCCAAGAGACCAAGAGAAAACGACATTCACTTGCCCTTATGGCACTTATGCTTATAGGAGAATGCCTTTCGGTTTGTGTAATGCACCGGCCACTTTTCAAAGATGCATGATGCACATTTTCTCTGATCTAATTGAAGAGAAAGTTGAGGTGTTTATGGATGATTTCTCCGTATACGGCTCCTCTTTCTCCGAATGTCTTGCTAATCTTTCTCAGGTTCTAAAAAGATGTGAGGAGCATAGGCTTGTTTTGAACTGGGAGAAGTGTCATTTCATGGTACAAGAAGGCATTGTCTTGGGACACAAGGTATCAGAGAAGGGAATAGAGGTGGACAAGGCCAAAATCGAGGTGATGGTGAACCTACAAGCTCCGAATTCTGTAAAAAGGATAAGAAGCTTTCTTGGGCACGCTGGGTTCTATAGGCGGTTCATTAAGGATTTCTCCAAGATAGCTAGGCCTTTAACTAGGCTATTGTGCAAAGAGGTGGAGTTTATCTTTGATAAAGAGTGTGAGGAAGCGTTTAAGAGGATCAAGGAGGCTTTGATCAGTGCACCAATTGTACAAGCTCCTGATTGGTCTTTACCATTCGAAGTGATGACTGATGCATCTGACTACGCTGTGGGAGCTGTCTTGGGGCAGAAGAAAGATAAGAAACTCCATGTGATCTATTATGCAAGCCGCACCTTAGACTCAGCTCAAGAAAAGTATGCCACCACCGAGAAAGAAATGCTTGCCATTGTGTTTGCATTTGACAAATTCAGGAGTTACTTAGTTGGATCAAAGGTCACGGTCTACACTGATCACGCGGCCTTGAGGTACTTGATGTCTAAAAAGGATGCTAAGCCGAGGCTTTTGAGATGGGTCCTATTGCTCCAAGAGTTCGACATGGAGATACTTGACAAGAAAGGAATAGAAAATGGGGCCGCAGATCATCTCTCAAGGCTGAGGATTGAAGAAAAGGTCCCTATAGATGATGCTTTACCAGAGGAACATCTCATGCTGGTCCGGTCTTACTTAGAGGTGGAAGAGGCCAACACAATCAAAGAAAGAAGCCTCCCATGGTTTGCGGATCTTGTGAACTACCTGTCTTGCGGTTTAGAGCCACCGGATCTTGATGCCTATCAGAGGAAAAAGTTCTTTAGAGATGTGATGAGATATCATTGGGATGAGCCGTATCTTTACGTGCTTAACAAGGACCATCTCTATAGACGATGCTTGGCCGAAGAAGAGATCCATCCGGTGCTACAAGAATGCCACGGTTCAGCGTACGGTGGTCACTTAGGTGCATTCAAGACGGTTGCCAAAGTTTTGCAAAGCGGCTTCTGGTGGCCGACTATGTTCAAAGACGCTCAAGACGTGGTATCGAGATGCGAGGCTTGTCAAAGGCACGGTAACATATCCAAGAGGAATGAGATGCCCCAAAACCCAATCTTTGAGGTCGAGGTCTTCGACTGTTGGGGCATTGACTTCATGGGTCCCTTTGTGAGTTCATACGGAAACCAGTACATCCTTGTAGCGGTGGACTATGTGAGTAAGTGGGTCGAGGCTGTTGCATCCCCAACCAACGATTCAAAAGTGGTGGTAAAGCTTTTCAAAAGTATCATTTTCCCACGGTTTGGAGTTCCAAGAGTAGTAATCAGTGATGGGGGAAGCCACTTTATCAATAAGACTCTTGAGAGTCTTTTAAGGAAGCATGGGGTAAGGCACAAGGTGGCCACACCTTATCATCCGCAGACTAGTGGTCAAGTGGAGGTCTCTAACCGACAGATAAAGGCTATTTTAGAAAGAACCGTGAGCTCATCTAGGAAGGATTGGAGCAAGAAACTTGATGATGCTTTGTGGGCTTACAGAACCGCGTACAAGACCCCCATTGGAACCTCACCGTTTAACTTGCTCTATGGGAAAAGCTGTCATCTACCGGTTGAGTTGGAATACAAAGCATTGTGGGCAGTGAAACTTCTTAACTTTGACATCAAGACTGCACAAGAGAAGAGGGTTTTACAACTTCATGAGCTTGAGGAAATCAGGTTAGATGCTTTTGAGAGCTCTAAGATCTACAAGGAAAGAACCAAGGCGCTTCATGACAAGAAGATACACAAGAGAGAGTTCAAAGAAGGAGACCAAGTTCTGCTATTTAACTCGAAACTCAAGCTATTCCCTGGGAAGTTGAGATCCAGATGGTCCGGTCCATTCAAAATTCTTGAAGTAAGACCTTATGGAGCGGTTGTTCTAAAAGGAAAAGATGGACAAGGCTTTGTGGTAAACGGTCAGAGGGTAAAGCACTACCTGGCATCAGAAACAAGAGAGGGAGCTACCTCGGTTCCTCTTCTTGAACCAGAATCAGCCTGAAAAGGTATGAAAAGTCAAACTTAGTGACGTTAAACAAAGTGCTCTTGGGAGACACCCCAAGCTTATCCTTGTAAATATTTCATTTTTCATCTTCTTTTTTCTTTTTACTTGAAGCTTTTTGAAGGGTTTGTTAAGTGTTTCAGGAGTTAAGAGGTGAATCTTGATGATGAGAGTAAGAAAAGGCTTGAAAAAGACACGGCCTGATGGTTTAAGTTCTAGAGCATACATAGCCTCGGTATATATATATGCCGAGGTCACCTTTTACCGAGTAATAGCTTGAGAACCTCAGCTAAACTCCTCGACTTAATTTCACCATGGCCGTGCTTAAGAAGTTATGTGGTGAGATGACTAAGTGTGGGGGAGGCCCACGGTGTAAACACCTCGGTATAACTATACCGAGGGGCAAAGTTCACTTCAAACGGCCTAAAACCTCGATCGAGGCTGCAACCAGTTTACACCAAGGCCGGACCGTTTAAACCCCCAGCACAAAGTGTTCTCTGTCAATACAAGTGACCTCGGCATGATGCCCTCGTGGTGGAGCGTGCCGAGGTGCCCGGCTTCAAGAATGATCAAAAACATAAACACTTGGGACACTTGAGTCAAAGAAGAAGGTTTGCGCGGACTAAGGAAAAGATTTGAAGACCGCGGGGAAATTCTTGTTAACTTGAGCTTAGCCCACTCGGCTTGGTGCCCTCGGGGTAGAACAAGTCGAGGCCGCTCAAGAGAACACGAGAAAAACCACTCTAGTCCGTACGGCTCACGGCATTCCCAAGTCGCGCCATTTGGAAGCTTTGCGCGGTAATTTGAATTTAAACGATCGGTCAAAGCTGTTTTGGCACGGGTCAACGGTCGCAGCTGGAGGAGAAGGGGGGACCAGTCCCACTACAGTCCAAACGCCAGCTGGAAAGCGCGACACCGCCCATACCAGCCTCCATCCCGAGCCAAAACCGAGAGTTCGCCTTCTTCTCTCTTTTCTCTGCATTTCACGAGCACATCTCTCTCATTTCTCATCCATTTCTTGTGATTCCAAGCGTTCTAGACTCGTTAGGGTGTTTTCTATTCATCATAAGCATTCCACTAAACTTGAATCTTGGATTCCCAAAGGTATTTGCATCCTAAAGAACTCATCTTTTTCCTTCATTCTTCGCGAGCTTTTAAGTTTGTGAAATGTGGAATCGATTCTTTTAGAACATGTCGGCCTTTGGGAACAATTTTAAAAATTCCATCACGATAGATAACATAAGAAAAACCGGTCTTTGCTCTGAAAATCACTTGTTCTTGAATTTTTAAAATTCTTGAGAAAATGCGCTTGGAATCGGTCTTAATGATGCTTTGAGATGTTGAGCTGAACTGTTTAGATATCGTGTCTTTCTTTGCTTGTTCTGGCTTGTTCTTACTTCCTTTGATGTTTGGAAAAAGCTATAACCCTGGTCTTGTTAGAGAAAAAGCTCTGTTCTTGCTATCTTAAGAGACATGTGCTTGTTGATGTACATGATTCTAACGGTCTTTTTGAGGATCTGCCTTGCAGATGACCGACGACCGAGCTGTTCCCACTCATGAGACGAACAAAAACGAGGTCCAGAGGAGGAGTACAAAAGGGAAAGTCGTGGCCGTGGCACGCAATGGTGGAACAAGCAAGAAACCCTCCGTGAGATCCGATGGTGAGCCAGCCGCTAAGCGAGCAAGGAACGCCGAGCTTACTCTGGTTCCAACCCTTGAACCAAGAAGGAATGGGAAGCAGGCAGCCACTGAGAACGATGGAGATGAGCTGAGAGCCATAGTTCCCCATGTACCCGACTATGCCAAGAAAGCCAAGAAGGAACCAAAGCCCGAGCCCGAGGAGGAACATTTCCCGACTACTGAGGAGTACTTGGACCACTTTAACTCTATAAGAGTAGCCCAAGGTAGGTTCCCTGATATGGAGCTGTTGAGGAAGCTTGAGATACTCGATGATGTTACACTCATCTTTCAAAACATGGGCTTGGCCGAGTTCTTCATGATGAGCGATGTTGCTTACGAGGGGATCAAACAACAGTTTCTTGCCACTTTGGAGGTTGTCATCTACCCCAAGAGAGATCCCAAGCGTCTACATGGCAAAGGGTTCGGACACATTGAGTTTGACATAGAAGGCGTGCACTACAAGGTCAGTTTCAAGGAGCTTGATGAGATATTCGGATTTGAAAGGAATGGAAGCTCACTTGACAAATTTGTGTACCCTCGTGGTGAGTTGGCCACGTTGTGGGAAACGATATCTTTTGGGCCTTACTTGGGAGGCAAGAGCAAGACAAGCTGCATCAGGAACCCTGCGATCAGATACACCAACCGGGTCCTGGCCTCTACGTTCTTCTCTACATACAACCCTGGTGTCATTCACACGGCAGAGCTTGAACTGTTGGGACTTGGACTTAAGCCGCTCATCACTCAAATGAAGAACAAAAAGGAGTTCCAAGGGCCAATGCATGTACCGTCTTTAGGAGCGTTCTTTGCGATCCAAATGCTCATCTATAGACACAATGTGTGGTGTGACCGGAAGAAAAAGGGAGCAAGGAGGCTTCAGAACGGTTGGATTGTCACTACAATTTTGAGAGCTCAAGGGTTCATATTCCCTGATTCACCATCGAGGCCGAATCTCATTGATGAGCAATACCTAAGTAAAAGCGGTTTCTTTGGAGGCAAGTCAGGGGATAGATGGGTTTACAACTTCACGCTGATGCACAGGGACGGTACACAAGTTCTACTGCCTAACCGAGGCCTCACCATGCTTGATAAGCAGTGTAACATCTCCTTCTATGTCCTCAAGGATCAGTTGTACAACCCCTCTCTCGGCCCACCAATGCGCAAGTGCACCAAGGCCATACCTAACAAGCCTCAGAACGAGAACGGCCCGGCCGGATGTGAGAATGAAGAAGAACGGCACCCTGAGAGAAGGATGGGAGCAAGCCGATATCACTTTGATCCATACGTGTGGGGTGAGCCTGAATACCACACCAAGAAGCTGTATTTGCGAGTGAACACTCTCCAAAAGTGGTGTAAGTGGCAAGACAAGACCATTCATGCCTTGGTGGACTGTGTAAGGCACCTGAAGAAGAAGGTCAAGCAGCTCACACGGCCATCTTCTCCGGACAAGAACTCGGGGACCTCAACCGCACCAGTTACACAGGAGGAGGTTGGGGAAAGCTCAAACGCAAGGAACCCGGAGTTTCCACCAGGCAAAGAGGATTGGATCGACCCTGCCTTGGCATTCTTACCTGAACCCTCGGATAGCAGCCCACCACGTCAGTCCACACCCTCCTGCTCAACATCAAATCCCTCGTACTACTTGGGATCAGACCTCTCCGACTAAGGTATCGACTTCAAACTCTTGTACATATGCATCTTGTGTATATCATCCTGCATTCGTTTAGTTTGTCTTTTTACTTCTCTCACACGCTTTTATAACACACGGGACTGTGTTATTCAAGTGTGGGGGAGGAGCTTTGTGTTTTCTGATCTTGTTTTCTTTGTTCTTATTTGACTTTTGCATTCTTGAGTCTCATCTAGCTTTGTACATATGGTAAAACCGCATCATTCTAGTTGCATCTCGCATTTTAAGATCGAGTCTAGGTTGCATCATGTAAGATTGCATCAGTGCAAGGAGCAATGATAGATTTTTTTTCCTAGAGAGTAAATCACTTGAGAACTTGAACTAAATATGCTTGTGAAACTCATTCTGTGCTTGTAAAGCTTGAAACGATTTGAATCTGAGAAGCAAGTCTAAATTACACTCAACTCTAGTTAAGTGATAACCCTGAACTTGAATCGTAAATATCTTTTGATGCATTGCTTGAATTGGCTTGTGGATACCGATATACATACTTGAGCTAGAATCATTGTTTTCACCACCCTCTTTTCCTTTGCTCAAGTAGCTGAATCCGCATCATGGATCAGTTCCCTCACCTTGAACCCAACTTTCTTTTCGAGCCAATGTTTGTGTGTGAATTGTAAGGCCACCTTGGACTGAACTTAGCAGAAAGTGTTAGGTTTAGAGCGACAAGGGCATGTCTCATTGAGTGCTACGTTCCAACATCAAGGAACTGAGAGTATTGGCGAGAAATAAGTGTGGGGGAAAAGATCTATTGGTGAGTGGAAAAAGGTGAGCTGAGAGAAAAAGAGAGGGTGGAAATAGCTAGGGGAATGAAAGAAAAAGAATCGAGTCTTGAATTTGAAAAGAAGAGCTCTGTTGTTCTAAAAAGAAAAGTATAGTCTTTGAAATGAAAAGAAGCCAAAAAGGCTCAAGTGTTCTAAAAAGAAAAGAAAAGAGGCTAATCGCTGTAAAAGAAAAGAGCTGTTTGAATAAGTAAACACCAAAGGCTTGAAAATCAAAACAAAAGTGAGTCCCCTAGTGAAAAAGAAAGCGATTGAGAGAGTGAGGATCTTGAGAGGGTGAGCAAGTGAGAAAAGCTTTGAGTGGAGTGTGGGGTGTGATGAGTCTTGCCCTTGTATGCATCGGTTGCTTTTTACCTTTAGCATTCTGCCAACGTTTGGTCGTTCATTGAGTGATCCCATTGTTGCATTACACCCGCTTGAATATTGATGAGATCATTTTTATCTCATGACCTTACCCTAGCCAAGCCAGCCTATTTGAACATTGCATCATTTGATTCACCGGTTACGAGCTTAATGAATGTGAAAGAGTTGAGTGTGATAATGACTTGTGGAGATTCTGTGCTTTAATTGTAAAATATCTGAGTATGGCTTTGCATTGCATATTTGAGCATGAATCCGAGTTCTCCTTGTGATCACTTCTTTCTAAAAAGGAAATATGAGCTCCATCTGCATTACAACCTCTTTCTCTCATTTGTTCTCTTCGCTTGAGGACAAGCAAAGGACAAGTGTGGGGGAGTTGATATGTCAATATTTTACATCATTTAGAGTACATTTTAGAGTCCTCATCATGTGTTTTCCCATGTAAATTGAGTCTTTAGGCATGAAAATAGGATTTAGGGCTTGCATTAGGTCCCAAAGAGTTTTGCATGTTTTGAGGTCTTTATCAGGTGCTTTGGGAGTCATTTGGAGCTTAAGAAGAGGAGCAGAGAAGAAGACGGTGAAGAAAACGGTCAAAAATGGTGAAAACCGCTTGGAAGAATTTCTCGGCCAAATCGCGTACCGGACGGACAGAAACCTCGGTCAAAATCCTTACCGATCGCTCATTACCGGCCAAAATGCTTACCGATCGTCCAACCTCGACCAAAAAGCTTACCGATCGTTCAGCACCGACCAAAGCCCGTACCGATCGACCAAAGTCAGCCTGGGTCGAAGATCAGGCGTTAATACCGCGGGTTGAGTTTTGGCCGAGGCGAAAGAATTTTTACGACCAAAAAGCTCACCGCGGTACACAGCCCTCGGTCATTTTTCTTACCGCGGGAAGCTTTTCTCGACCAAAATCTGTCCTTGTCTGCGCAATTCAAAGATATGAAATCCGGGGAACCTTCCGGTCCGAATCAGTTGGCGGGGTCTTCAGCAAAGTTGGAGATAATCAAACAAAGATCCCAGAACAGTTGGAATCATCCAATGCGGACCAGTAGGGAGAAAGATACAGCTTCCGGAAGATGCACCAACATTACGCGCATCCGAGAACTGAACGGCGAAGTACAAAGGTCACGGCGGACGGAGCCTTTCCGGACCAAATCAGCTTGCCCGGTCTTCATCAAAGTTTGAGATCTGTGAAAGCCCTTTTCAGAACAATTGGGATCGCTCAATTCGGAGCAGTGGTTTGAGAGATAAAGTCTCCGGAGTTCACATCGGTCTAAAAAGCTTATTTTCTGGTGATTCCAATGCGGTTCAAAGATGTGAAATCCAGGAAGCCCTCCGCTTCCCAAGCTCCGACGGTTTCTTCACCAAAGTTCGAGCTTATTGAGTCATCTTGACTATGGAACTGGTCTCAGAGCATTTGGAGTCGTGGGTTGAAAGTTACTGTTTCCGGAGGGTGACATGGTCGATACGAACCCAAATATGTTGCGATACGCGCTAAGTGTTTTCTCAGGGCTCGGCATCGTTACCTCGACATCGGCCAAGTCAAGGCTCGTATTTTGGAAGTATTCTGAACTAGGCCTCGTGCTGACGCCTCGGCACGTTGGAATCAAGGCATGCACACGTAAAAAAATGAAGCTGGAAACGACTAAGTGTTGAACGTGCACCTCGGTGTAGGGACCTCGGCGTGCATGCCGGACCCTGTTCGCTCAAATCCCTCGACTACCAAGCGCCTCGGCATTTCATGCCGAGGTCCATTGTCACAAACCCAGAATCAAGAACAAAGCTGCCCAAGAATATACACGTGAAGATGGATCAAAGACTAGGGTTCATGCATGTTCTTGACGTGTTCTTCACGAGATCTTCATTTGGATCTAGACTCACGTGCACTCCTCGACATGAAGACCTCGGCTTCACTCTCCGACACACCGTGGTACTCACCCATCAACCCAAGATCGCGGTTCAGTACCCGGTTTGTTCCGGGCTGACCCGCGACACTTTACCTTTGCTATATATACATTTTGAGACTAAAAACCTAATCATCTTATCTCTTATCTGTTTTTAGCTTTAAGAACTTGCCTCTTTGGTGAAACTTGATCATTCTAATCCGATATCTCGTTTTTGCATGAAAAATCTTGTTCTTTCTTTATTTCTTTTATCATCTAACATTAAACTCCTCATCATGACCAGCTACACGTCTTGCAAAGGACTTAGTGAGCTCGTTATGATTAGTGAGTAGTCGTTTAAGCGGCTTTAGATGAGTAGATTAGGGTGCTTTCA